TTTTTTAGTGCTCTTACAACTTCAGCATATTCCTTTCTCTTTACTGTCAAAAATAAAGGTTTCCTCCAGGCTATGGGTTGATTTAAAAAGCCTTTTAAAAAGTAAAGATCTTTAGTAGTAGGGGTTTTTGTTTGTTTGTTTGTTTATTGTTTTTATTTGGGTATTTCTTGTTCAAGGAGCTGACTGCACACTGCAGTTGATTCTTACACTGAGTTAGTGCAAGAACTAATGATCTATCTGGTCTACCTAGAAATGCTCCAGTAGCACGAGGTCCTAAGAGGCAGATGGGCTACATGTAGGTCTCATATGTAACACAGGCCCTGGGTTTCACTTTTTAATTATGATTTATTTCTGGACATATCTGGAGGGCAAGCAGTAGATTGAAGCTAGGTGTTATGAGAGTGATAAAGAGTACATGCCTGTGCGGGAGAAGGACCGAATTATTCAGGGTGAGTAGCCCAACCCATCATAAAGGGCCCTAGAATACTTTCCTCAATAGCCCAGGTGAAATAAAGAATTTCTGGAAGACTCTACAGGCTATGCTTCCTGGGAACAAGGAGTTAGACTTGATATGGAATATCAGGAACTAGACATTTTATTTTCTGAGTTTAAATTTCTATTGTTTATTTTGGCAAATGTAATGACCTGTGTAATCACTATCGCAATCAAAGTGCAAAGCATTTTTCTTAACTCATGAAAGTTCTCTCATATCCCTGTGCAGTCTTTCCTTCTTTCCTTCCTACTCTGCTTAAAGTCCAAAACTACTCTGACTTCCATCACTGTAGCTTAAATTTACCTATTCTTGAGTGCCATAGAAATGGAATCATACAGTGGCAATCACTCTTTTGAATATGGCTTATTTATCTCAACAAACTGTTTTCGAGATTCACTCATATTGTGGAGTCTATCAGTAGTGTGAGGAGCTTTGGCTTAAACCACCATTAAAACATGCTTTATGATGACTACTCTTAGGTATAAAACACAAAATAATGCAAACCGAAGATCATATCATGGGTGAAACAACAGGTCCCTCTAAGCTTTTTTTTTTTAAGTTGGTGTTTTAAAGTCCTATTGCATTTCTTCCATCCAACACCCAATGTATCATCTTAGGAAAATACAAAATTGGAAACACTATCTAGACAGCTATGGAATGTAAGCTCCTTGAAAGCAGGAATTTTTGCTAATTTAGATTACTGAGGTATCTCAAGGTCCTAGAGCAGGGCCTGGCACATAGTAGGTACTCAATGGATATTTGTTGAATAACAAACATCAAGAAAAGGTATTTTCTGTCATTAATCTCTTCTTTATTTTCAGATTCTCAATCCTGAGGGCTTAGGCACTAACCCCAATATTGCTGCAAATATCTTGATCGCTGTGGGTAGCATCATCATGATGCTGGGTTTCCTGGGATGCTGTGGCGCCATGAAAGAAAACCGCTTCATACTTGTGTTGGTGAGTTTTCCCAACAAATCCCAATACCCATCCTTCAGACTTCTGAGGCTTATCTCCCATCCACGCTGTCTATCGAAAAGACTTGCCAAGATTGATGAAACGCTCTCCCTTTTGTTTAGAGGGTTGGTTGTGGAAGCTAATATATTTAGCTCAGATTAGAATAAAAATTTTAGCCTTTCATTCATTCATTCAATTACAGAGTAGCTGCTCCATGCCAGATACTGTAAGATACGTGGATATGAAGACAATTAGAATCCATAAGGGGAGACTGATGAGTAAACTATTAGCTGCAGTGGAAGTGGCCCCAGAAGAGAAGGTGAAGGGTAGAGGAGGGAAGTTTCAAACTAGAAGCAGAAGTGAATAAGGTGTTTACCAGGGGGTGGGGGTAATGAGATTTCCAGGGAGAAAGCCCGGCAGCACAGTGTTTGGGGAACTGCAAGGCCTTGGATACGACTGGAGGATGTCAGAGGTCTTTCCGTAAATGATGGAGGATGGGTCTGAGTGTGGACTACGGTCAAATCACAGTCCATGCTGAGAAAACTGTACGAGCACGAGGTAATCAGATCTGTCCCTTAGAAAACTTCACGGAGGATAGATTGGGTTAGGATCTCGTCTAAATATGTTTCTCTAATAAAATAAGTATTGTGTCAGCCCCAGAACGAATATATTTTAACTGATGGTTTGTTATGAGGGAAGGTAGGAACAGAAGTTTTTGTTTTGTTTTGTTTTGTTTTGTTTTTATGAAGGTACTGGGGATTGAACCTGAACCCATGTGCATGCTAAGAACACAGTCTACTGCTGGGCTGTACCTCCCCCCAGAGACAGAGTTTGAACAGAACTCTAATAGCATCCCTGGAGGTTGCTTTTTGATTAATATGCCTCATTTGCAATTTGGAGAATTTAATTACATGAGGAGCTTCTTTTAAAAAATAATTTGTGGGATCCTCCAAGTTTAGGATTCAGTAGATCTGGGGTAGATTTCAGGACTCTACATTTATAACAAGACCCCGGGTGATTCTGATAGTGGTAGAAATGTAGTTTTTGTTTCTTTTTAATTTTAATTTTTTACTGAAGTATAGTTGATTTACAACTTTTCAGGAGTACAGCAAAGTGATTGGGTTATGCATATATATTCTTTTCCAGATTCTTTTCCATTTATAGGTTATTCCAAGGTATTGAATGTAGTTCCCTGTGCTACACAGTAAGTCCAGTAGAAATGTTCTGAAGTCAGTTCTGAAATTTTTTTTGAAGTTTGAGTTGTGTTTGATGAAGAAAGAGGAAGATAACATTCAAATAACTTCATCTAAGTTTTCAAACTTCCCTCGATTCAATGTCATACCATTGCCTATAATCCAATTAATCAATTTCAATGTGGACTATTTTCCTTGGTCAGCCTTTGGAGAAAATGGCCCCAAATTTGATTCTTGAGGCAAAGGGTGAAATAAGTGAAGAGCATGGTTATTACTCCAAATAGAATATGATCCTGGATGCAGAAAGAAGCACCGTCCCAAAATGTCCCAGGTGTTCCTGAATGTACTGGGGATAACATATATATTACTTTTCTTTTTTTTTTTTTTCCCAGTTTCTTATAGGATTGCTTCTGGTCCTACTCCTGCAGGTGTCGGCAGGTATCCTAGCATTTACTCTCAAAACTAAGGTGTGTCCACATACGATACTTGAAAATTTTGGATAACTCTAAAAAATTAACATGCCTCCTTCTGGCATGAATAATTTCACAATACTTTTCAATTTTCAGACTGATCATGTTCTGAATGATGGTTCCCATGCTAACATGTCGCTTTTGAGCTTAAAAAATGAAGATAGAAAAATGTTCCAGAAAGCCTTTTCTGAAATTCAAGAAAAGGTAATTAGAATTTGTAGGTTTGGGGGGAGTTGGACATAGTTATAGATTTACTTAATTTTTAATAGGTGTATTCCTTAAAGATTGAAAGATCTCTCCCTTTTGCAGATTTTGGCTGATTATTCTGTCACCACGCAATAAGAAAAATCCAGGAATGTTTCTAATTTTTTCCCAGCTTCTTATGAAGTTCTGAAACAGTTTAGAAGGACAGAGATGAAGAAGATATGTTTATGACAGATTAAGCCTTGACTGAGCCAAATCAATCATTGTTTTAATATTTACTGCTTAGAAGGACAGTGTGTTTGGGATGCTTGGAGAATCTCTCTTTTTCTGTAAAAGATAATTATAGCTATCATTTATTGCTACTTACTATGTACCAGGATTTACATTCAGTAGCTCCTTAAACTCTCACAACTCTGTAAGATGAATAATACCATTATCCTCACTATCTTGTTAGACAGATGAAGGGATTACAACTGAGAGAGATCTGACAGCTAACAAATGATGGGGTTGGAATTTGAATGCAGATCTGTCTGACTCATTAATTCTTTTTAATCAGTATGCTAGCCCCTCTCTTATGTTCTTACATATTTACTTTGGCCACTTCACTGTCTTTAGGGTAAAAAGTCAAAATTTGGGCAGGTAATGAAGATACTCTACTGTCTGGTTCCTGCCTAATAATTTAACATTACTAAACACTACCCCATGAAGAAAGCACTCCAGTCCAGCCAGGTCTGTGTACTCAGGGTCTCTTACACAGTTCTGCCTTCCTGCCTCTGCATGATTCCTCATCCTCGGAGTGGACTTTCTCCTTTTCTTTCTTTACAAATACTACATGTACTTTGAAGCTTGACTGAAATATTGGTCTGTCAAACTCCCAACCACATCTTTGTTGTTGTTGTTGTTGTTGTTTTATTTTCTTTTAATTTTTTTGGGGGGGAGAGGTAATTATGTGTGTGTGTATGCATATATATGTGTGTGCGTGTATATATGTATGTGTGTGTGTTTATATGTGTGTGTCTATATATATATATGTATATATATTTTTTTTAATGGAGGTACTGGGGATTGAACCCAGGACTTCATGCATGCTAAGCATGCACTCTACCACTGAGCTATTATACCCTGCCCCCCACAACCACATCTTCTTAACTCAGAATTCCCATCATATTAACTACAAGTAGCATTTCTTTTGCATATGTCATAGAAATTCTCAGAATGTTAGAGGAGAGCTGGATGTACAGAACATTTAACCTGACTTCTCATTAATTGAAGTATTTTATATTTCTGTTCATCCACCCTCCAATTAAATACTGAAGAGCTGAAGGCTTCCCTTTTTTGCCCATCCCGTCCGCCTTACATCCAAGTCTAATGAGTAATGTTTTCTTTCTTAATTTGAAACAAAATTCCTCCCTAGAATTTGTATCATTTAGTCCAGTTCTTCCTTCTGGAGTTTCAGAGGAAAAAGAAAATCTACTTTTAAATATTGCAAATTTTTCTTTGAAAATGTCTTCTCATATGACTTCTAAAAGATTTCATTTTCAAGTTGAAACATCCTTGGTTTTTTGAGCTCTTTATCAGATGAAATTTTTTTTTCTCCAGAGCATTCCCCAGTTCCTATCTGGATAGTCTCCAGTTTGTAAAAATTCTGCTCAAGGCATCATTTCCAGGAGCTGAAACCTGATATGGCAGTCCCTGTTTAACTTCCTCTGTTCTGTGCTTTTCCCAGCTCCCCCTGAACTGCTTTCCCTGATCCTCTCTCCTCCGGATCATTCCCACTCTAGAGTCCAGATTAACCCAGGTTTGAAGCAGGGAGAATTTAGGCAGCTCAGTTTCTCCACTGGGTGGGGCTGAGCATCTTTCGTCTTCCTTGTTTGTTAATCTAGGACAAAATGTACTACAGGTAACCCCCCTGGTCTCTGGGTCGGGTACTGAGTCACTTGTGCACGTTGTCCCTGGTATCCAAGGTCTTAGTGACCACCAGGGGGCTGTTTATCAACCCTGTTCTGTTTATCATTATTTGTAATTATTTCTGTTCTTGTGCATAATTCCTGTACCTGAAGCTCCTTGTGTTTGTAGGACTATGATTCTCTCTTAATGTCTATTCTGAGATTCTTTTTTTTTAACCTACCAAGGTTTTCTTTCCCTTTTTTTAAAAAAAAAACCTTTTTAAAAAGTTATTTTAGAAATTTTATATATTTATTTATTTATTTATTTATTTATATTTGAGGGGCAGGTAATTAGGTTTGTTTATTCCTTTATTAATGGAGGTACTGGGGATTGAACCCAGGGCCTTGTGCATGCTAAGCATGCACTCTACCACTGAGTTATAGCCTCCCCGACTTTTCCTTTTTAAAGTAATGCTTCCTTGGAAAAAGAATCTTACCCCAAACTCTGGCTGGGTGGCCTGAGGCTCCACCATACATAGATAATTTGTAGATACGAAGTGGTTTTCTTTTTGATTTTTCAGGGAATTCCCACCCAAATTTTCTGGTAACATGCTAGTGAAACATGCCCCTCTTGGATTCTTAGAGATGACTATTTTTCTAGAGATTGTTGTGTCATTTACTGCACATCCTTGTTTATCTAACCATTGTAATGCTTTCAACACATCCTGACCAGCTTGTACCTCAGCCGCTCCCACATCTGATCTGATGACTAGATATTCTGCTAAGTTTGGCCTTTCCACCTCCTGCCCTGTCTCCTGTGTGTCTCTGTGCCTCCCTAAGGAATATCGTATTCCAAAAGTGGACTGATCTGTGATTGTATCTGGTGGGGCTTACCTTCTTTTTGATCTGGAGTGGCTGTATCAATTCATATTATTCGAGATTATTTAATCAGAAAGAGTCAGCCATTAATCATCTACCGTGGAAACCAGAAAGGAGGTTGTTTGAAGATCGCCCTCTTTGCTAGCTGGATTGACCTTGGGACCAACTGAAATCTCCAGCTCTTTGTCATATAAATATCTACTGAGTCATATATTTGTGCAATTAACTCTTCGAGCCAAAGCCCAAGACTTCATATCCGCCTCAGTTGAACTTGTTGGCTTAAGCCCATTGTTTGAACTATCTTTGGCACTTGGGCTCTGTTCTCCAATGTAGTAACCATCACTCCCAGCTCTATATCAACTACAGATACAGGATACTTTCCTATGGAAGGATACTTTCCATATCTTTATCTAAATTACTGATACCAGTATTGAACAGGTCACGTTCACGTGAGAGCATAATGGAAACAGCAACAACTGTGAAACAAAAACAGTAAACACATGTTGAGTACTTTCTATAAGCCAGACATTGGGCTAAACACTTCATATCTTCACGTGGGTCTTCTATTTTTATCTTTACAACAAACCTATGAATTAGAGACGATTATTAGCAACTGTTACCTGTATTTTACAGATGAAGAAGCTGTGGCACAGAGAGGTTTAAGTAACATGAGTAACGCGGTCACCCAGCCAGTAAGTGAAAATTCTTTCAATATCCTGGCATCACAAAGCATTCGA